AGAGAGCACTGGCTTAGAAACTGGGGGTGGGAGTCACATCCCTATGACCTTGGTGATTCTAGCACTTAGTTCTATGATTCCATGCATTTGCCAAGTGACATCTAGAGAAGGCAAAATTTTGATTCTTAAAAGTATTGACAGTATTTATGATGATTCTGCTGAGTATTCCTGGGATTCTGCCATGGTCAGAGAAGGGGCCTACATTTGATGGTCCAAGGGGCAGCCAGCGTGTGCTTCTGCATTCAACTTTTTAAATACACAAGTGTACATAAAGTTCTGTGATGTTGAGGTAGAGCTAGGGAAGGGGACTCAGGATAGAAACTCTTTCTCAGGTGGAGAGCAGATCTTAAACTCCTGCATCCATCTTGGTCCAAGACTCAGACAGACAGGTGGCACCCACAACTTTGATCCCCCATGTCAAGATCTGACTTGAGATTTTAAGGCAGCTCCAACAGGAAGCCAAATCTGCTGGGAGGAGGAGGAGGACCTGCAGGTTACCTTGTGTGGAAAAGGGGTTTTCCTCATCTTCCTCAGTAGTTTGCAAAGTTCAGAAATGGGGAGACAGAAATCAGCCTCCTGAGGAATTCCCTACTTTTTCTTTCTTGGTTTGTGCTCATTCATATCTCTTCTCTCTTTCTCTCTCTCTCCCTCCACCTCCCCTTTCCTGAAATTTTTTTTTATTAATAGGATTCTTATTAGGGAAGGGGCTTTCTGGTAAGAAATACATTTTCTTTCTTTCTTTTTCAATGGAAAGAAATGAGAAAACCAACTATTCAGGGGTGGGAACTAGAAACAATAAAATAAAGCCAGACTCTCAGAAATGGCTGGCAGATGGCGCTCGGCTTTCACTGTTGAGATCCTAGCTCTTCAAAACTCTTCTTGCCCTGCGCCAGCGCCCAAAGCTCAGCTGCACATCCCCCTCCCTGATCCTCCTTCCCAGGAAGCAGGCAGCCCCTGATCCTCTGGCCTGGGGTATTCTTTAAAGGTTTCAATGGAGCAATTTATCTGAGGACAGATCCTGGTATTTTAATTAGTGGCTTTGTGGACCTTAGTTAGCTGCAGGAAACACAGTAGGGGGTGACCTCCAAATTCACAGTTCCTGGCCCTGATTCTGCTGGGAACCACTTTGAGACCTTGGGCAAATTTCTTGGTCTCCTGGGTCCCTTCCAGTTTTCCTCTATTGGAAAAGAAGAGGGGGTTATCTTTCTTACGTTAAAACTTTTCTTTGTGTGTGTGTGAAAAGTTTAAGTAGAAGAGTTTTGTCAGTACAAACACACACACACACACACCTTTGAGTATCTGTTCCAAAGTGGCAGATTTGTATAAGAATCAAAGTGGGACCATCTTTTGTCCTTTGGTAAATAATTAACAATTCCTGGTCCCTTTCACTGGGAGCAGAGGTGCAAGGAACTTTCTTTCCCACCACAATCCAGGGCTAAAAAAGACAAAGGAGAAGAGGTCCTGCTTCCATCTGGGGAACCCAAAGAGCCTCCCTAGGGAGGGAGCATTTGAGACCCTGTGGGAAGATGAGGCAGAGGAGGGAGTAGAATTTGGGTACATATGAAATGCCTGTTTACAGAAATTTTTTTAAGGGCCTCTGAGATTTCAAGGCTAAATTTGAATTTCTGTCCTTTCCTCAGTACCTCCTATTCCTTAGTACTTCAGCCCCCTGCCTCCACCATGCCAGGATATTCTCGTGATGTTTAATTTTCCCTGTCCAAGAACGAGACCCCCTCTCCATCTGGGGTACCTCACTGAACTTGGGGCAGGCCCCTTTGGCTTCTTGTTTCCAGCGAAAGTTAAGCTGGAGCTGATGGGTCTGGGCCTAAATCCCTTGGTTCCAAGAACAGGTATTATTACCTTTTCCTTTTATCCTCTTTCCCACCCTTCCTGGGGGGGTGGGGGGGGCTCCTGCTTTTTGGCCCTGAATTCTGATTCAGGCAGGTTAGCCACCCCCCTGTAGGTGCCATGGTAGATGGTGGGACACAGGTAGGCAGCTCTTTCTAGCACCTTCCCTGGCCCAATGGAGCTGCTCCCCACCAGAGGTCAGCAGAGAGCTAGAATAGCTGGTTGTGTTCACAGGAAAGTGGGGACCACTTAGAATTCTCTAGACCAAATGTAGGAAAAAACCTTGGCAGAAAAAGAGACCCACATTTTTGGGGTGTTTGGAGTTGGAGTTAGCTCCATTTTGGGTCCCTGGGGTCTTGGTTTTAACACCATTCCTGCTATCCTGGACTTTTGGGGGGCAGGGAACTTTGCTCTGTTATTTGATGGGTTTCTTTGCCAGTCCCCCCTCCAAATGCCCAAATCTTCTCTTGTAGGGGACCACACCCACTTAGAACTCTCCTTCATGGGGCCAGACTGCCCACTTTCGCTTCCTCTAGATCTTGGAACCCACACTTGGGCCTGGCCCTTTTTCTTCTAGAAATTGTATTTATTGTTAAAATGACATTATAAATATTACAGGAAATCCCCCTACCCTGCCCTTATCCTGCTATGACTATTTCTCCTTATCTCATGTTCTTTACCCACACGTATGGATGTTTTTAAGAAGGGTATTTATTAACTATGGTATGTAAAAAATTTTGTATTTAGCACCCCCACCCCATTGCCTGCCCCAGACACACATTATAGGCCAGTTTCCTGAGGAGTCACCCAGGTCCGCCCTTGTTGCCTACAGTCTTTGACTGATTCAGTCCTTTTACTGAGGTGGGAAAAGTTAAAACCAACTCCATTTGTTCTTAATTGTAGAAGGAAAGAAAGAGAAGAGAAGGTACAAAAGGAAAAAGATAAATAAGCCCAGAGGTGAAAAAAGAAAGTTTTGAAGGAGTGGGAAAGAAGGAACAAAGAGAAAGAAAGATGTGAAAAGTCACCTTTGCCAAGTTCAGCTTTAAGTACCAGATGGGTTTCCTGCCCTCTAGAAACTTACAGTCTGCTAGAGAGGATCAGATTGCAAATAACTAAAGCTGCTCTAGGCAGAGCTGGAGAATTGCCAAATGGGAGCAGCCCCGGCCGGGGGAGGGGGGGGGGGAGAAGAGGAAGCTCAACAGGTGGTGGGGCATCAGCCCTTCCTGTCCCACCACCCCACAAGGCCATGTGGGTTCTAGGAGCCATGGAGGAGAACAGGATGGGGCCACCTGAGTCCTCTCAGCTCTAGCCATTGCCCTCTCTCCTGATCATAAAGTGATTGTTTCATTTTTGTCTTATTTTGAAATCAGGAATACCCTTCCCTTGTCCCACAAACTGATTTTTCCAAGTGTTTTCACATCCTTATCCCACTTAGTGGTTTTGTTTTGTTTTAAGAAATCTGACACACAATGGACCTTTTTGTCCTTTAAAAAATAAATCTAATCTTCATGAATCTTTTTATTAAATAATCACCCAGAACAAAACAAAGCCAAAGCCTTAGGTTAAAGGCAAACTGTATACTAAGTGGACATCTCTGAAGTACAGGACATCCTTTGAATTTTACGCTAAATTCTTATTGTTTTCTGGTTCTTTCTTTTCTTTCTACTCTTTCACCTTGAAAAACAAGTATGTTCATTAGAGAGGGTAGATAATGAGGGAAGGTGAAGGGAAGAGGGGATGAGGCAGAAGAGGCAGCTCAGCCAGATGCAAATCTGGAGCAGCATGGGTGTGGAGGATATTGCCTCAGCTGCTTCTTTGTGACCTGTGCTTTATTCATAAGCTCAAGTGAAACAAACAAACAAACAATAAAAATCCTGTCCTGTATGGTTGCAATAGGATTCCATTCTCTGAAGTTGGGGGCTTTTGTTTGAAGCACAGCCACCGGGGCCAAAGGGGTTTCCCAGGCTGACCCTCTCAGCTCCTTCTCATGGGTGAGCCTCCCAGACCAGGAAAAGCTCCCTCTCTTTCCCAGTGCCAGGAGTTAGAAATGTGTTGATAATTGATTTGAGCAGAATTTGTATTGCTTTGAGACTTAGTAGAATAGCCAATTAGGGGCCAATGGAGGGAGGAAGAAACAATTGCTGTTCTAATAGCCAAGAAAGAGACCTCACCACAAAGATGGTCACACAATGGGCCTTGTGTGACATCTGGAATTACTGGGGAGTCGGGGGTCATGGTGGTTCTTTAGGAAGGAGGAAAGAAATAGTGTTGGGAAGTGTTTAATAGAAATTTAGAATAAAATGACATGCCCGATTTAGGAAAAGAGTATATCCATCATAGTTCCAAATGAAAACAGTTGTCACAGTTACTTTTTCAAGTTTTTGACCATTGGCAGGTCTGAGGTTTCTCGCACGAGAGGGTAACGTCCAACTTGGCAAAGAGCATGGAATACTGGCTAGTCTGTGGCACACATGCACCCATTTTCCCTCACTGATAAGTTATTCCTAATTTTTGGTTAACTTATAAATCAAAATAGCCTTGTTTCCTCTTTGCCTCTCTAGTAGCACCTCTCAGCACGCAGTAGCTGCTCAAGAATCTGCTACGCCTCTCAGGAGGATGAGTCCTTGCCGGTCTGGTGAGTTTGCCTTAATTTGGGCATTTTTATTCATTCATTCATTCATTCATTCAATATACACAAGTTGAGTTCACAACACGTGCCCCTCCCAATGGGGAAGACAAAAGTGTAAGACATTGCTGCCCCCTTCTTGGTCCACAGTCAAAACCAAAGCTAGGAAGTTAAGGAGGGTGGTCAGTTTCTACAAAGGGATCATACTGAGAGTAGATAGCAACAATTAAGAGGATAGAATGATGGTCAAAAGACATGTTTCATCAGCTTTCAAGAGATCTCCAACCTAGCTGAGCAAACCAAATCAGAGCTTACATAAAATTATTGTGAGTACTGAAAATTAAAATGCACAAAACCCAGAAGGATCTACTTGGGTCAAAACAAACAACCTTGTCTAGACATTTGACAGGCACAGCCATTCAAATTTCCATGCCAGTCTGAGGCTGAAAGTCTGAACAGGAACAGCAGTGAACAGCAGTGACGAATGCGATCTAGCTACAGGGTAGGCCTTGGCCTTTGTTGATACCTTGTCAGAGAGGTTCTGGTGCTGGCCTTGCTTCCAGAAGGGGTTCCAGAGCCTAGCTTAGGGATGGTACTGAGAGCTGCTTTCAGCTTCCCTCTTTCATTTCTTCTCTATCTGGAGCCAAACTATGTCTTCTAGAATCTTCCAGGTCTAAATTGAAATTCCCTTAGCAGGTGGGTCCAAATTCTTCCACTTAACCATAGGATCTTCTTTTTTTTTTTTTTTTTTTAAAAGAGAGAGAGAGAGAGAGAGAGAGAGAATTTTAATATTTATTTTTTAGTTTTCGGCGGACACAACATCTTTGTTTGTATGTGATGCTGAGGATCGAACCCGGGCCGCACGCACGCCAGGCGAGCGCGCTACTGCTTGAGCCACATCCCCAGCCCCAACCATAGGATCTTCTGTCCATGTCAAGGATCAGGGCTCTGCTGGTGGGATGGGGAATGTCTAAGGTTTGCAGGCAGAGGTCCTGGAGTACCAGAATGTTCTCTTAGCTCCAGCCCTCCAGCTTAGCCTCACTCCTCTATGTTAGCTCCCGCAGTCCCTCTTAGATGCTGAGCTCTGGACCTCTCTTCCTGTTTTCTGAAACAGACATATTCTGTATTCAGATACTCATTAATTCCTAGTCTGTGGAAAGAACAGCATAATTTTAGTCTCCAGAATTTTATTTCCAGTTTCCCATCCACAGATACTCATCTGTTATCTTTGGAGTGACATCTTATCTATACACCTCTGCATTGTTCAGCACATGATATATGAGTTTTATATATTTTTAAAATATGCATGCGTATATACAGATAGGTTTTTTAATATTATAAACAAATCAGGGAAAGTTGTTTTGTGTGAATGGCTGAACTGAAGGTACTCCTAGATGAGTTTTGTTCAACAAGGAGTGAAATTCAGATTGGTAACATTATTAAAAATTGGCTTCTCCTTGAAAAGCACCACCCCCAAAAGGAACTGAAAGAGAAATGCCTGAATCTTGTGTTCAGGGTGCTTAGGGATGAGTCCTTGGCCAATTTGAGAAGGGGAGGTTTGGCCCCAGGCCTCCTTACCTCCCGGCAGGGGCTGTGTTCTGTTCAGTTAATCCCATTAGCTGGCAAAGGCTTAGAGGGTTACTCTTAAGGGACATTTGCATTTTAATAAAGAGCTCTGTGAGGTAAAAAGCTGAGCAAGTCACATTTTTAATAACGGGGTCTTTAGGAGGAAAATTCAAAAAGAGAACATTGGGTGGAATGGGGAGAGTGCTTTGGGGGCAGTCACCTGCCCTCCACACTCCCCTTTCTTCTGCCCAGGGCTATGTCTGCCCAGCACACCCAATTCAGTAAGTGGGCTTTCCTCCTTATGACACAGGACACAGGGACCCCTGCATCCCCCCAAAGCAGCAGTCCCTTGGTGTTGCTTCTGCAAGTGAATACCCCCACAAGAATGGCAGTTGGGTCCCAGTTGCTGCCCTTCAGCGCGGCCTTACTCATTCCGCTCAGGCCGGTAACAACAGGCCCCAGGCTTCTCAACATCCAGGGCTGTGACATACAGAACAGTCAGGAAATAAAAGAGGCACGAGTACTGTATAGTTGCTCTGCTTTCTTTAAAAAATAAATAAAAAGAAAGATCCGGGGGTGTAGGGAGAAGGAAACAGGGGATCAAACCAGCACACAGCTGCTGAACGATCAGCCCCCCACTGTCCTGTGGTTGTCACCTGGGAGACACTGGTGCCCAGCAGCCTTGGGATTGACTTCACACCTCAGTCCTGAGTTGCTGGGAGCTGTCTGAACAGCCAGTGAGCCAGTGGAGGGAGGCCTGGTTTGCCGTTACCTTTCCAGATGTTGGCATGCCCTTTTAGGAACCCAGAAGCCTACCAATCCAGCTCCCCAGTGTAGCTTAAAAGGGGCCTTTCCAAGATGCATGGTCTTTAGGAAAAGGAAATTAAACTAATGTTGAAAGCTCCAGACATAGGTTTCCTTAAAATAAAAGCAGTTGAAGGCTAGGATGAATATTATGAATCCCTCTAGTAATATGTATTTGCATATGTCCCATGAGTTCTAACAGCAGAGTTCAATATTGCTCGGGGAGGTAGATTCTTTTGTTTTGCCTTTTTTAATGTTACCCACCTGAAACACGCCTTTCAGGATGTTCGGTGTTGGCTAACGGGATTAGAATAACAGCGTCATGAAATGAGGTGAAACTCCAGACAGACCCCTAAATACTGCAGCGTCCACTGTGCACAGCAAACATGCCCCTTGTACAGCTTGGTGACACTCATCTAGGAGCAGGGTGATCAGCTATGCATATAAGTTATGGCTTCATTTCACACACAAGCAGGCAGGCTGCCCACGACACCAGACAAGCAGTCACAGCTCTCTCGGAGCATGAGAGGCACTTGGGTTTTATCTTCCAGATCAGACCTCTCCACTTCCTTCAAAATACCTTCTTCCTATCCCTTAGCTAAGTCAGCAGGGAGAGTCAGCCTCTAAGTTTTGCTAAATCGTGTGCCCTGACAGTGACTTGTAATTAGGAGACCCTGCGTGGAGCTGAAGCCCCGCGGCAGCAGCACCACCACGGTTCTGGTTCCCGGTTCCCTGGTGAAAATGGCCTCAGCAGCACCTTGCTGCCAACAGAGGCCGGCGCAAAACACGGATTTCTCCCTATCCTCCCAAGCTTAGGATTCTGTTTAGAATGCTCTGCTTCCAGCTGCAATTCCCATCACCAAAGGGCCTGATTTTAAGCAGAAAAAAGGACCACTTTAGCCAGTGAGTGATGGGAAGAGGGATGGAGAGAGGGTCATTTCAACAGCAGCCAAAGCAGCTGTGCCATTTCCCTGACAGCTTTTTAATTATGATGAAAGAACAAGATGGTTTGGTTTTTACAGAGAGGCTTGTGGTAGGGGAGAGGAGGGGGCCTCTGAAGGGGATGTGGGGTGCAGAGTACAAAGCGCCTGTCACTGAGGAGTGATGGGTGTGCTTGGAGGGAATCCAAACCTTCCCTACCCTCCGAACAGCACCAGCCAGGTCTTCGGGCCACCTTGCTGTGACAGAAAGGGCCTGAAGAGCAAAGAGGAGCAACTTGCTGGTGCTGGTTACTCCCTTTCCCCTCAGGAGGCAGGAAGATGTGCTTCCCACCGCCAGGCCAGACCTCAGCAACCCCGGCTAGAGGGCTTTCACAACACCCCATTGTTGAAATCATGTTCTTTAATGTCAGGTGCTAAATCAGATGCATGGTTCTTGTGGACATTCAAGGGCCTTGGAGCTAGAGGTAGAGTTAAGCCAGCAGGCCTGGGGACTGACATTGGGACATACAGAGGCAGTGTTTTAGTGCTGTGGAAAGAGCTGAAGAAGATGTGAAGAGGTCACACTCAACCCAGGCAAGAATGAGGGAAGGCCCCCACATCCCCTTCCATCTCTGATCTGTAATCTTATTCTAGTCTCAGGCATAGGCACCAGTGGCTTGCTTGCTCCAGTGGGTCTTTTTGTATGTCTGAGAAATAAAAGTGAATCCTAGACACTCTCAGAGCTGGAAGGAGGCTTGGCTTCTGGAATGAGAAAGTAAGGAAAGAGTATCAGGCAGCTGTGGGATCCTAGGGAGGAAGAGAACAGAAAGGAAGAAATAGACATAGAAGGTGAATCATTTGGGGCTTTCTGTTGCCTCCCTTCCCAGTTTTAGGGCTCCTTCCTGCATGCAGCAGAGACTGCAGGCTGTGCTGAGAGCCTCTGCCGAGGACTGCATAGAGCAGGAGAGGCGGCTGGAGCCCGCTCGGCTCGGCTGCCTTTGTGTGGTGGCAGTGACTATGTTAGAAGCTCTGTGGGCTGCGGATAGCCCCCCGGCCTTGAATTCAACCCTAACTGTCGGGATTTGCCACCCCCCACCCCTAGAGGCACACCGTGCAGCAACCTCCCCAAACAGTTGTGATTTTGTGATTTTTCTGGGGTTCCTTTTTCCCCCTCACTCAATTGCCAGGCTGCTAAGACACTTGTAATTTTGATTATTATTAACGGGCAGCTGATAATGAAACAGCAGGGACTTAGGGCTTTGTGGTAGGTGAATTATGGACATTTACAAGTAAACCCACTTTATTTCTACACTTAATCAGAGGATTAACAAGCAGAATACAACATCTGCAGAGTCTTACGGGGAGGAGTGGTCCTGGAGCCGGTGAGGCAGCACTGCAGGCAAACAGCTCTCTCCCCAGAACAACTGCAGCCTCTCTGCCCGAGCCAAGTCCCATCACACATGTGTCCCGGTCCCCGTGCACAGAGATTCTGCCTGTCACAGAGGTGGAGAAACAGTGATCTCGCTGATTTTAATGGACCAGTTTAGGGGAAAACACTTTTAAAACATGTTAGAAACCATCTTTTTTCCTTTTTCTACATGGAAAGCAATATTGAGGCTAGCTTTTCAGTCCAGAGAGAGAAGGCTGCAAGGCGGCATCCTGGTTATGGCCTTCGGGCTGCTTGGATGCTTCATTGTGGAAGGATTGTAGTTTAGAGAAAGAGGGGGAAATCCACACAAAATCAGTTATAGAGGTGTATTCAGCCTGGGGGTCAGAGGAAGTCCATGTCAACAGATTTTGTATTTGCAGTATCCGAATAAGAAAAGTATTTAGGATGTGTGCCATATTAAAAATAAGTAGGCATTTTGTTTTTTGAGAAACAGTAAGGTGACCTGCTAATGTGAGATAGTAGGGACTGTAATCATGTGTGAAGAACTGGTCTCATTTTTCATGTCAGAATTAATATTGGTTGAGATTAGATGGCTTCTTAATTTAAACCATTTACATTCTATAGTGCACAGAAAAGAAGGGCTCTCAGCTGCTTCCTGGCAGCAGCAAAGCCGAATAAATAAGGATAATATAACCCCAAAGACCCACTCTTTCATTTGTCGCTTCGCTCTTGTAAATTTTGAGTCATTTAAGCACAACCTAAAAACTCATATTTTCATTGCTAGAAATCTGTAGCATGTCGTGCTCTTCTAAGGGCTCTTCGGCTTCACATTTCCTATTCTGGTGCCCTTTTCTGACTTGAGCTTTTATCGTCTTGACACCAAAGCATTTAGTCAGTTTGGTTGAAAGTTCAATTATGAAAAAGCATCTGGATGTTTTGTCTACAAATCAACCAGTTTGCCTGAATGTTTGAGTCCACCAGCTCATCAGTCCACTGCCCCCAAGCTACCCTAGCATAGCCCAAATGCTGAGGTAAACTTCTTTGAGGGAATCACAGAAGCAGATCTCCAAGCCAGTGAGTGCGAGGAAGGGAGCAGATGCCGAGATAAGGTGCCCCCTCTGCAGTAGCCATCCGAAGTTGCTGCAGGGGGGCTATGGGGATGGTGGGGACGAAGGAGCAGGCAGGTCTCTACCACAGTTGCAGCCACAGCCGTAGAGAAAAAAACAATGGGGAGAAGAATCTTTATGGCTAGACCCTCAGCAACATCATTATCCGAATCAAGATTTGTGTAGTGCCTGCAGCCATCTTAGAATTTAAAGGAGGATGAAGCCACCCACCTTCATTTTGTCTTAGGTTACAACCAGCTCAATCTAGCTAGTGAAAAATAAAGATGAGAAGTCTTCTTTTATAGAAAAAGGAAAATGTCCATGATTTCTTTCCTTGAGAAAGCTAATCACCCCTCCCCATCCTTATCTCAAAGTCACCAATGTTGAGACTAGATAATTAATTTTTTCTCTTTTTCCTCATCTTCATAGACAATTTGGACTCTTAAAATTGCCCCCTCTGCCCCCGCCTGAGATCACTCAATGCAGTAAAAAGCCAGGCAGGTGGGAAGAAGGGAGGTAGAAGAGGGAGGTAAAAGAGGGGTAAGGGCTTTATGGCACTTGTGCAGGTTGTTTCTGTTTGCAGACAGCTCAGTCCAAAGGAGAGCATTCATAGTTCCCCGCACACTGTTCCTGATCAATCTCACTTCACTTCCCTCTGGGGTACAGACCTCCAAAGCCAGTCTTGATCCTTTATTTTTATGTTAGCAATCACAATACCCTGAAAACATGTTTTTAGCAGTTTAGCATGCACCGAGAATTCCAGGGGAAAAAAGGGTCAAGAATTGATGACTTAGATTTAATACTAGTCCCATTAAGCAGAACTTAGAATTCTAATAATGGATCTTTGCTAGACAAATCAATGACACGTTTCTGAAAGGAAAAGAGTGACAGCTGGCTGATTTTACAGAATCATCAGGTATTGGGAGGAAGGTTAGCAAGGGTTCAATTACTGTGAACCACAGGGGTGTGTGTGTATATTTGTTTCTCTGTGGTTTTCAGGCTTCTTTTTTTTTTTTTCATTTGCAAATTTGTTGTTTTGCTTTCCAGTTTTTAGAAATTATGCATCTATATTTTTTCTCTCAAAATCTCTTCTTTCTTTGGCATCCATTTTAAAGAAACTAAATATTTTGTGGTAGGCTTCTATTCTTTAACCATTATCTTAGTTCCCTTTCTTCCTTTGTTTTTTTAGACAGAGTTCCCCTCTATATTCGTTCTTTACTCTCCACCCAATAAATCTAGTAGATGTGTAATTTTGCCAAGTTAAGAAATACACATTTATTGAACACATTTAAGAATGTGCAAAGTTAATGAAATATAAAAGTATTTTCCACTCTAATTAAAATAGTTGAGTCTACTCGAGGATCACACCAGTCAACAATTTTAATAGTCTTTCAACTAACTCATGGCATTATTGCGATGGTATATTTAAAATAATCACTGGTTAAAATTAATAGAAGACTTTAAGAAATTCACTTTTCAGGCTGAAACAACTTAAGGTCATCTGTTCTGAGGTGTGCTTCTCAGTGGCCTGGGTTAAGTAACACTGATTTGGGGGCTTTTAGACTTCGGGCTGCCCTTAACAGGTATAAATAAATGGAAAATCCATTTAACTTAAAGAGCAGATGTCTCTTGGTCCCAAGGTTGCATATCAACTTCGTTAGTATGGTTCAGCCATCTGGCACCATCTTGACTCAAGATAGGGGTCTAGGGCCTTTGTTGCCCATGCAGTGAACACAAAGAGCTCCCTCTAGGTCTCTCCTGACTTGACACAACCCAGATGCACCTTCTTGCTTCCTTTTCCTGACCAGGGCCCTGTGCTTTGGCTCATCTTTGACTTTTCAGAGCCACCTGGTGCCAGTATGCAGACATCGCTCCACTACCCCAAGGTGTGGTGTTCGGCCCCAACCTCCCTCCTCCCATTGCCACATTCTCAGGAAGGTCAGCCACCTTTGTGTGTGACTGCTGATTCCTCACCTCAGGTCCCATAGGGAGCTGGTGAAAGCTTCGCCTTGTACCCCTACCCTCAAGGTGTTCATATCTTCCATAGGTGAAAGGTCAGTTTTCCAGAGTCTTTATTTCTTGGTATTATGTCATTACAACCCTGAGATAAAAATAGGTATAATTAGTATGTTACAGATTAGACTCTGCATTTCTGGCTTTGTGTCCCTTCTTCTAATAATACCAATTTTGGTGACACATTTCCTAGAATTCTGGGCTTGCTTCTATCACCAAAATCCTCCAAGAGTCCAACTGTAGGAAAGACCTGTTTACCCTAGAACCTAGGAGGATTTGGTCACATTAGATTTCTTTTCCCTCTTTTCCTTGCAGGTCCACCTCCATTTTCTTGTTCTTTGATCAGGCAGCCTCAGCTCCATTTTCCCCCAACACTGACATTTTTGTGAAGCCTCAGCACACATGTTCATCTGTGCCTACGGCAAAGGCTCTTTCCTGGTTGGCTCTAGAGTCACCACCAGTTAATTGGGAAAAAATTTGAGTTAGGCATCACAATTTCAGCCAAGCTGGGCATACAATGAGTACACCTGTCACTCTAGCCAGTGTCCAAAATTCGGCCCCATGGATGACAGCTGTAGCATTTTTTCAGCATGAGCAATTCAGTATTTAATGTTCCTTAGAAAAAATAAATCATTCCAAGCTGCTACTGTTCACCTATTAGCCCTTAGGGGATTTCTGGGGAGTTGGGGAGAGGATCCATAATTCACTTGGCTAATAGGGATAATGTGCCCTTCCCAATTCTGCCTTTTATTATTGTTATTGCTATTAATTACTTTTTGCGGTTCTTGGTCAATTCTCTTAAAAGGCAATTTCTCACATAAGGAGAACAGGCTAGAAAAACATCTTCTGTAGCTGCAGGCCTCCAGAATGAGAAGTCAGATCTTCTTTTCATTTCATTTATATTTTTACCTGAGTAGTATAGGTACTGCTTTCCATGGTCAGTGGTGCCCATTTCTTTTCTCTTTCCATGGTAGTTTAAATTAACTTGTCATCCTAGACACGTCTTAATTTAAGACTAAGTGCTGGAAAAAAAAAAAGTTCATCATCATTCAGACCTTCTCTTTTCAAGTAAATATCCCTCCAGAGCAGCACACATTTTAAACATGTCCTCCCAGTAACTGGCCCTTCTGTTGCCTGGATCCTAATAAATGAATTGGCCATCTGCAATTAGTCCACATTGTACAAAGTGTTTGAAGGCCGAGTCCTCTGCCTTCTGAAAGAAATTGGCTATATTTAGTTTATAAAGCAAGTCTGCTTTGTGTTCTTTGTAAAGTCAACGACATTCTTTCAATTTTTTTTTGGTGTAATTAGCACAAAAGAAGTTGTAACCTGAGAAGGTAGTAGGGACTAAAGCAACTGAGAAGAATGTTCAAGAAAGTGGGCTGAGGCAGTTTTCCCAGTACTGGGCAGTATATAGAGACCCTAGACATGACTATGGATAGAACTGAAGTCTGCAGTGCAAAAAACATCCCCTTTTCATCTGATCCCCAGCCTGGTTGCAAGAGCTTGTTGCTTTGGCTGCATGATTCACTCTTCCTTGTAACTTTCTCAAAGACCTCAGAAAGCCACAGTGCCATGTGGGCTCTGCTATTGTTGAGCGGACTCCTCACAAGTCAGGCAGAGTGCAATTCATGCTGCCAAACTCTCTCAAGCAAGGGAGTGAGGGCATAGCTTCTGGGCTCCCCAGCAAACACTGAAGTTTGGCCAAATAGAAATTTAGTGGAAACAGTGCAATAGCAGGCTGCTGATTGTGGATAGCCACCTGGCAGGGAGGACCCAGCCTTTCTTTTAGGGACGCTGTCCCCCACAACATAAAAAGTCAGGGAAATAGCTGAAGCTAAACTATAAATTACACGTTTTTCCATTAAGTGCAATTTAAAGTTTCTCTTATCCAAGGAAATTTTGTCGGAACCTCAGCTTCACCTGTCTGGTTGAACCAGGTGATTTTCCTGTTGTTATTTATTTAGTATTGTTGGATCAACAGAGCAATCAATGAAGGAAGGCTTCAGAAAGACCCAATTACCCTCATATTGTGTGCTATGGTTTTAAGCAGATGTGCTATGGTTTTAAGCACATTGACCACTGCACCCCTACATTAGTTTTAATTGTTGGATATTAAGAAAAATTTCATATGACCATGTAGTTGATTTCAAGACTTCTGAAATGAAGTTTAACATCAAGTTTAGTTTTGAATGCAACTTTAAGTTTACTTTGTGGTTGAATTTATGAACTAGTGACTATGACAAGAAAAAAATAATACCCTAGATGATCACTATATTGATTTTTTAAGGAACTCTTATGGTCATGGGTAATAGAAGCTTCTTGCAGGGATTAACTGAGACTAGAAAAATGCTTCTTACAATACCTGCTTTCATCTCCTATATGACATGGGCTTCAAGTAATATTTATTTGCAGTAGCAGTTTCAGTCATTCTAGTTAATTAAAGTGCAGAATGTACTTTGAAGACAGAAAGCACCGTGGAAGCACTAAATACTATTATTAAAAGCTTATAGCTAAAGTTTCTGTTTCAGTGGAAACCTATTTATTGTTTCCTAGGTATATGTATTATGTGTGCTCGCTCTCTCTCTCTCTCTCTCTCTCTCTCTCTCTCTCTCTCTCTCTCTTGGAAAATAGTTTACAATGACCCCAACAAAGGAAAGACCAAGGAGAACTCTCTTGTCTCAAAACTGAATTACATTATTAAGCATAATATTTTCAAGATTCTATGTTGTAGCAATTCTGTTGCTTCTAAAAGCAGACCAGGCATTCTTACTTAGGAGATGCATAGGAGCCAAGGAACACAGTAAATAAATATGAAGCTCATAGGATTATAGAATTCAAACTCCATTACTGTAAAATAAGAATGTTGGAAAGAAATGTTGCTGGGCCATCTTTCTGTTAGGAATGACACCATCTGTTTAAGTTGTATCATTAAGTGATCTAGTGTTTTAGGTTAGGGATGTGTTATTATCTCAACTTGGTGGTTTTGGCATGAAACAAGTCACCTGAGCCAGGGAGGGACCTGTGTCCTCTCTGAACATTTTATACAGAGGACATTCTGGCCTTCTAGCCTTCTTTGGAGCCTCAAGTTTCCATACATTCCATTCTCACCCTGAGCCAAATGAGGGGCCCTTTCACCGGAAAACTCTCTAGACTGGACAGCACAAGAATTATGTTAATGGATCTCTCTACTCTCACCACATAAACTAGGCACTTAAAATGGCAATGACCCCAAATAAGTTACTAATTCTTAAGACATAGTCACACATATTAACCTCCAAGGAAAAACTTTAAAAAAATAAAATAAAACTTTTATTAGAGTTTGGCTAGGTCAAATACTAGACCAAAAACTATAGATAGTGCCAGCTGACCACACCAGTTAAGTAAAATCTCCTCTTTTGCTTTGTGTCAAGTGAAAACAGAAAACCCAACAGACCACAGACCAGTTTGTGTTTCAGAATTCTTGGTGTCATTTGCTTACCTGTAAACCCACGATTCCACCTGCTGCCATTTATTTACAAAGTAAATGCTTTATTTGTCGATCCATAGTTAGTTATAATAATATATAAGTGAAACCTACACTTATTTATTTTTTTTTATTTTTTTATTTTCAAGGATAGCTTGCTAGGTTAGGAGTTAGAAGAAATAACTCCTGACCTTGCGTTACACATTTCTAGGACAATAGTCCCAATTGTGCCTTGCCTAGAACATGTGTTGCTGTATGCCATGGGATAGTTTCACTCTTTTTAAAGTTCAGATGTGATATTTATCTAAAAAGGGAAGGCAGTAGCCCAACTCAGGGACTTTCAATAAGGAGACTCTTCATTATATTCATTGTATAACTGTGTAGCTTACTGGCATTAAGTATCAAGGTTGTATTGGTTACTATTTACCTTGTGCCTTTTAAATATAATGTATTTGTTTTTTGCCACATTAGAAGCAGGAAGGAAGATGCTTTTGAGCAAATGGAGCATAACAAAAATTTCTGGCCAGTTCCTCTCTCAAGTCTTAATCAATTTAAAAAATGACAGTCAATGAATCAAAGTCAACCAAGAAGTTTTTATTTAATATACGAAGATGTAAAACTTAGGCCTTGTCTTTAAGTAGGTGCTAATGGAGTTGATGAATGAGAGCGGGTCATGATCTTTCCAAATAGCCTTGAAATCATTGAAAAGAAGGTTCCTGTCACATTTTGTATGAGTACATCCAGGGTATTGGTTAAATATTTTAATCTGTTTCTGTTTAGGTGAAAAAGCATTAACCTGGAACAGTAGTTCCTTTGAGCTTTTTTCAAAAGACGATATATTTTTGCATGGAGAGAGGGTGATAATCAGAGCGTGACAAAGACCTGGTATATGTCTGGCAGTGGGGCCAGCAACTTTTCAGCAGTTTGAGACAAAGTCAGTGACCGGCAGAACCCATGAGGGAGGGCCAGCCTGCAAGTGAGAGGGTCTGAGGGCTAAGTTTGTCTTCCTGTTCTTAATTCCAAGAATTCTGTGGTGACTTTGAATTGCTTGTTGTCCTTTAAGATCCATAAAAATTCTGATTAAAAAAAAAAATCTGGGGGCAGAGGTGTACTTGAAGGGATCAAGCAAAATAATATGCAACATCTTTATCTATCACACCTTTTCTTATTTTGAATTGTACAAACTGGGGGAAAGGAGGACCTCAGTTGTCATGTGGCTTGGTTAGCAGTTTCTTTCTATTTTAAAAGCTAATTTAAAACTATACCCAACAGTTTGCCCAAGGCCTCTGGAAGCATCCAGCAAACCCCCTGTATACCTGGGGACTATTTGCTGTGTTTGCACTTGTAGATTGACTTTCTTTTAAAATTTTGCCCCCACCCAAAACAAGTTTTGTGAACTCTTTTAGAAGTCAAAGAAAAGTTACAGTTGGAAGAGAGGTTGTGGTTACTCTGCAGATCTGGCTTTAGTGGCCTGTAGGGCTGTGTCCCATTCACAACCCGGGCCGGGTCGACCTGACCAACTTGCTTCACCAACTCATCTGGGCATAAGGTGGGCATGGGGCAAAGTTATTAAATGAATGAATGAATAAATGAATGGTACCCAAGTAGACGCCCAAGGGGCAGCAAGGCTCTGGGAAGAACGGGCCCAGGTCCAGTGGATACAAACTAAGTGCTCCTAACCCTAACCCAGTGCTCTCTCTACTACATTCTAGAATGCAGACCAGAGAGCGGACAGGACATTTTCGAGTTTTGAAACAATCTTCCAATAAGTTTTGTGTTCAATAAACGATTTTTCCCTCTGTTCCAGAGACCCCCGTGGCGCCCTAGCGGGGCCACCGCCCCTCACACCTGGAGGACCTGGAGGACGCCATGCGCCCGATTCTCGCCACCACCGCCTGCTCCTGGCCTCCGTGTCGGTCGTCGCCTGCTGCTCCAGGAAGATAGGCTTTGCGCGCACGTGGCACCTATCGTGCGAGGATCGGAGCCCCCCTGGGCACTAGGAGCCCAGGGGGGCTGCGGCCCCTAGCCAAGCGCGGGAGGGTGGGGGGCAACCCGCGCTGGCAGAGGCTGGAGGTAAGGAGGCGCGGCAGGCGACGCCGCGTCGCACACTTTGCACGCCGCCCAGGGCTACACCACTCACCGAAAATTGGGAGGCAGGTTTGGGAGGCGGGGTCGGGTGCCCACCACCTTGTGGGCGCTCGTGCCCCCCGACCCCACACCCAGCACGCCCCCCATGCACACCAGCGCCGCCCCCTCACCGGCCTGCACCCCTGGGCCGCCCCGCGGCACATTTGGTCGCGTCCTCGGTGGGCCGATTTTTCGCGCTTCCCCTTCGGTTTATAGGGGCCGCTGCTTTGGGTCGGTCCTCTGAAGAGGCTGGGGCGTCATCAGGCCGGCTAGAAAGCGCCGTTCCCCGGCGGGGACACTCAGTCGCGTCGGCACCGCGGAGCGGGCTGTGTCAGGTGGCTGGCCCGGCGCGGCGCTCGCTAGCTCTCTAGCTCTCTGGCTCGGGGCTGCGGCACCGCGGCTGGAGCGAACCCCTGTCCCGGCGCGGGGCGGCGGCGGGCGGCCGGCAGGCAGGCAGGCACTGCCTTGCGTGTGAGTGCACCTCACTCACATGTAAGTCGGGGAGCGCTGGGGCCACCCGAGGAAGTGCGAGTCGCCCGGCGCGGGCAAGAGCCACCGGGACTGGGACAGGGCAGGGGCGCCCGGGCGCTGCTGCCCTGCCCCGCGCCTCCCCGGCATCCCCCAATTCTCTCCTTTTCTCTTTTTCTCTTCTCCATTGGCGTGCCCAAGAGCCAAACCCAGGAGCGCCTGAGGGTAACTGCAAACTCGTGCCATCGCGCCTTTGCACTCTTCTTTTTTGAGTTGTTTGACATTTCTTGGTGCTTTTTGGTTTCTCGCTGTTGTTGGGTGCTTTTTGGTTTGTTCTCGCCCCTTTTTCGTTTGCTCATCCTTTTTGGCGCTAACTCTTAGGTAGGTAGCTTAGCAGCCCCAAGCCTGTGCAGCCGCACTCCGCGGCCCAGGACAGCGCAGCGGAGACCGCAGCTGAGCCCCCCGACACGGGGCGCACAGGGGCCGGACAGCCCGAGGCCGGGGGCAAGCAAGGCACCCGGGCCAGACACGAGCCGGGCTCCCCGAGGTGGCCCGGCCACCATGCTGAAGATGGCCATGAAGCTCAAAGCCCGAGCGGCGGAGAGCGAGAAGAAGACAGCCGCAGCAGCTGCCGAGGTGGCTGCCGAAGCTGCGGCGGCGGCTGCGGCACTAGCAGAGCCGCTCGCACCGCGGAAGAGCGGGAACACCGAGAAGACCCCGAAGAACGCGAAGACCCCGAAGAACCAGGCGCGGGAGGCGCCCCCCGAGAAGTTTCTGACCGACAAGGAGCGCAAGAAGATCGAGAAGAAGTTGCTGGAGCAGAAGAGAAAGGAGGAGAAGAAGAAGGAGAAGGAGAGGAAGAAGTTGGAGAAGATGTTGAAGAAGAAGAAGGTGCCAGAAGCCCAGGAGGAGGCCCGAGGCCCCGAGGGCGCCGCCGCCGCAGACGAAGACGAGGGCGCCGCGGAGGGCGCCGCCGGGGGCGGCGAGGGCGCCGCCGCCGGGGGCACGAGTAGGGCTTGGGCCGAGTGGGACACTGACTCCGGAGACGAGGACGACGCCTACTACGCAGCGCCGCGTGTTGGGGGCGTCGTGTGGCGGCCCGGGCCCCTCAAGTCTGGTGCACTTAGCGCCCACCTGCCCCTCGTGGTCTTCCTGGTCTTCTCGGTGCGCAGCCCCTCGTGGGTGCTCAACTTCCTGCTGCAGAAGCGCACAGAGCAGGGCCGTGGCTGCGGCTTCGTGTTTGGGGCGACCTGCTGCTTCAGAGTGTTCCTGGGCTGCGCCTTCTTCTCCTACTTGGGCGGCCGCACCAAGCGCAGAGGCCGCGGGCGCTCTGGGGCCAGTGGAGCCTTCGGCTCGGGCAATGGCGCCCGGCGCCGGGGGCGTGAGGAGCGGCTCATCTAGTCAGACCCCCATACCCCCCGCCACCGCCACCAGACACCACCATCGCTGTGTAGTGTGGATTTTTATTAGTATTTGTGTGTGTGTGTGTGAACACATTTTCCTTTTTGGTTGCTCCGTTCTTTGGTTCGTGCTCGCCTCGCTTTTTTCCACACTCCCTGCTCTCTGGCTCTCTCAGTGTCTCTCTCTTTTCGAAATTTTCCTAAGTCCGGGCTCGCGCTCCCTCCCCTTCCGCCCACCCCGGCCCCTCGGCGGCGCCCGCGGGAGGAGGGGGAGCAGCGGCCTCGGGGGCCTCTGGGCGACACTGCCCGGGGGGTGGAGCGTTGGCGTCGTGCGAGGGGTCGTCACTGGCTCGGAGACGCCCCCTCTCTCCCCTCTGCAGGGCCCAACTTGGGCCCGCGCCAGGGGGGTGGGGGGGCGGCTCCTTGGCCCGTCCCGTCCTGGGCTGGGTGCGGGCGGAGGGACCCCCCTTCCCGGGCACCCGGGGGGGACGCCTCCCTCCGCCGGCTCCCGCCCTCCCCGCTGCCGCCGCCGCTGCAGCGGCTGCTCCTCAGCCCTCCTCCTCCTCCTCCTCCTTCCACCCCCCTCGCCGTCGCCTCCTCCTCCCCCCGCCTCCCCCCGCCCGCCGCATTTGGGTCGGGGCGGTTGCGGGCCCGGGCCGAGGCAATAAGAGCGGCGGCGGCGGCAGCGGCGGCAGCAGCTCCCGCAGCTCCTGCTCTGGTCCGCCTCGGCCCGGCGGCGGCCATCAGTCCCCTCGGCTTCGGCTCGAGGGGCGGGGAGCTGCGCGCGCCCCTCGGTCCGACCGACACCACCCTCCCCTTTGCGCCCGTCCGCGCGGCCCGCGCCCCGCAGTCCGCCCCGCGCGCTCCTCGCCGAGGAGCCGAGCCCGCGCCCGGCCCGCCCGCCCGGCGCTGCCCCGGCCCTCTCGGCCCGCGTGAGGCCGCCCGCG